GTTAGTTAGTTAGTTAGTTAGTTAGTTAGTTAGTTAGTTAGTTAGTTAGTTAGTTAGTTAGTTAGTTAGTTAGTTAGTTAGTTAGTTAGTTAGTCTGGTCCCTCCATACCTAGCTGGATGTACATTTTTTTCTTATGGACAGTATTTATTCTGTAGGTTATTTGTTATTAGTTGTTGTTTTATGCGTGTTTAGTTACAGATTTTGTTTTATTTAGATACTTTTCAGTGTTTTAAAGTACTTAATACAAAAACTAAGAAATTAGTGTGTGGTAGATGCTTTCTTTGTTGTAACAATGCTTCTTAGCAATAAATCGTACATCAGGCACCTGACTGGGAGCACCTGGTCGGACCAGGAGCTCAAAACAAGAGTCAATAACAATAAGCTGTTTGCAGAGAAGATTTGTCTAATTTTTCATGTGTGCGACCCACAGCTCTACTTCTCATCCCACAAATGTATGTTCCTTACAAATGTGGCACCATTTAAAAGTTAACAGACTTTCCAATGATTTAATGAGATTTATTGCCAAGAAGCATCGTTATAACAAAGAAATAATGAACTGAACATCAATTTCTATGCTTTTTGTGCTAACTTATCTTGATTGTCTTCAACCATTGTTTGCCTTCTCTCAGCTGTTCACTCTCAGTAATCACTCCTCTCGACATACAAACTCAGCTTGTTTTATTGGAATGTAGTTTTCTGAAAGGAGACACGTGACAAATCTCTCTCTGTGCGGAACTCGCTCTGCAAGTTTGGTACATTGTTGGTGTCGAATAAAAGCAACAGATTCAAGTTTTAATCAACCTCCAAATGATCATATCATGACTAAAAAGGATTTTGTTTGTTAAACAAGTCTTACTGGAACATCAGGAGGAGGGACATCAGCTAATGAACAGATAAACTGTTTCTAACCAAAGTGTTCATCTGGTTTCTTCAGGTTGGTGATGCCCACAGTCCAGAGTTTCATGATGCTCCTACCTTCACTGCAGATTGTGTGGAGGAGCCTGATGGATACATTCACAACTCCGCTTTTTCACAGCGTGGGAAAATCCCTGTCCTCTGTTCGAGTTCAAACAGCAGAAGACTGATGCAGACGGCTGTGTCCCACAGGAAGGCGGGATGTAATGTAGGAACGAGTCAAGTTGAAGATGCAGTGATTCCAGTGGAACACACGAGTCTTTTATCAAATATGATATAAAATGAAGGAAACTAATGTGCAAAGCGATGACAATCATAAGTTAAACACATTCAAATCATTCAGTTTACATTTAGCGGCAGCTGGTCATGTTTGAAACCAGGTCCAGTTTCAGCTGAAGGGTTAATATTTTTATTTTATTATCAAGGTTACAACATCAGTGGCTTCTATCTGCGTATATTTCTGTGAATTACAATAAAAGCATTATTTTTGAGGAGCGTTTTTTAAGTCAGAAAAATGTCAACTAAACTCTAGTTTGATGCAAATCTAATGAGATGTAATAATTCAACAGAGAAAGATACAAACACAGAGGTGTATAACTTAAAACAAATAATTATCCCTTAACAAAAATGACTGGTAAACATGTATTTTACGGATTAAAAAATACTTAAGTAAAAGTAATAAAACTGCTCACAATTATCATGAAAATAAAAGTAATTTAATAAAAACTTTATAAAATTAAATTAATTCTACTGAGCAATTTACGCATTCTCTTTAAAAGAAAACATGGAAATTGCTTTAAATGTATTTTCATTTTATTTGCATGTATAATTTTGATGCATTATTATTTGCTTTGCAGAGTGCATAAACAATATATTTCATTATCAGTTAGGTTTTTTAAATTGGTGACAAGATGTCAAATTTTAAAGTAAAGAAGTATTTTTACGTTTTGAATGGAACAAACAAAAGTAAAGTTACTATATAAAAAATAATTGGTAAAATTACAAATCCTCAAAAGAATGACTGAAGTACAGTAACAAAATGAAGGTACTTTGTTACTGTACACGTCTGTGTACTGCTGCTGGGATTTTAGATGACAAAAATTTCTTCATGTGATCATATTTTCTGACTGCTCATAAATATTTCACACAATCCCAGTTAAATAGTGAAGACAGTTTATATTCAAACTTAAATATTTATGGTCAAAAGAATGTTAGAAATTAAAGACTTTGGGCTGATGTGAATTACCCAAAATGCATTAGTGTTGCATTTTGTGACCAAAGCATTTTTGTTTTTGTTTTTATTATTATAACTAACTGCTTCCAGGCTGACGGATGTAATGTTTCTGCTTTATGAAGATTTTCTGTATATGTTGCAAAGTATTTGACATGAGGTTAAAAGTACTGAAGTTAAAGTATTTATCTGGATGTTAAAGTCTCACAGGCAGCTTGTTTGCAGGCTTTTCTTACTGTATCTGTTGATGTAGACGTTTTATCTGCAGCTCCTACTGAAGTAACTCAGAAGAAACAGATCTTCTGAAAGCAGACTGTAACAGTTCTGACTGATATTTTTGACACAAGTGGGTTTCACTACATGATGAAGGCATGTTGTGTGTTTCACAAGCCTCGACTGATAACACGTCAATGTGGAAAATAAAAATGTTTTATTGTTTGCTGTAATGTTTCAGGTATGCTTCAACAATCAGAGGATATAAAAGAGCTAAAATGAGTTGACTCTTTGTGCTTGCAGTAAATGACATGTTGGATCCTCTGCACAGAAACAACTGAAATTTACAGTTTAGTTGGTGATAATGAAAGAATTAATGCTGCATAACTAATGTTATATTTGCTGCTATTGATTAGTCAAATGACACACACCTGTAGACTAAATTAAATGTGAAATCTGTAGCATCAATAAATAAAATAGATGTAATGTTTGAGTTTTTATTCATCTGCTTCTCTCAGAATGTGCATATCATTAACTTTAGAAGAAAATCTGAGTCTGTTCCTTATGACCAAAATAAACTTTTTACTGTAAGTTTGTGTGATTTTCTTTTTATTTCTTAAATTTTCTAAAGGGGTAATATTATGGTTTCTCAGGTATATATTTAAATACTATACATTAATAAAGTATCTATGTCACCTTCAGTTGTTATTAAAATGCTGTTTTTATGTTTAATTAGAAAATAAACTTATCTTCTCATCACTTCCTCTTCTAAACACCTTGAAATTGACCTCTGTCTCTTTAAGAACC